TAGGTGGCGGGTGCACCAATGAAGAGAGCACTGTTGATTTCTGTCTCCGCCCTCGGCATCGCTAGATGGACAAGGCCGGAGATTTACGTGACTGGCGTCCGTACTTCTTCCCCGCCGGCCATAAGCTCTAGGAGGTGAATAGGAGAAGAACGTGCCAATAATATTTTTCACTGGCTCCGCCGAACAAGCCTACAAGAAGGGCACCAGTGACGAAAACACAGTGGCTGTCTGTCTGAGCCCGTTTGCCACCGTCGAGTACAGCATCGCTGGGTGGATAAGGCCAGAAAAGCCGTCGTTGGCTCGTCTTTCCGCCTTCTTCACGGCCATAGGTCATAGAAAGCGGCTAGGGGAAGGATGTATCGATAACTTCATCCACTTCCTCCGCCCAAATGCCAATCACGGACGGTGTTCTTGTCTTAGGAACACTGATCAACATTTTAATCTGTTCTATTATTAATCCACTAATTTACTATCAACTCATTTGGAAAGTAACTAGACTAATTTAGTCTGTTTACGTTCCAAGTGGATTGATAGTAAATTCTCATTTGTATTACTAGATGCATTTTGCGTGCAGTTTTCAGTTGATTCGGCTCTTGAAAGATCGCTGACCACTTTGAAATCGGAGTGGTTTCATGTTCGCTGGCGATTTTCTATCGCTGACCTTGCGCAATTTATGTTTTGCGCTGCGTGCGCCATGCCCCGGCATCGAACATCTTTCACTGGTAAAACCAGCCTTCCTGTCACATAGTTTCATCAAGTTGTTATTCCATGCGTCCATGTTACACATTGGAGTAACCCACTCACGCACAGCATTCTGTCCGCCGAGATGCATTGCAACAGAGACCTTTCGATCCAGTATTTTTTTACCAGAAAATCATGGGGCTGGCTGTGCTCCCAGTTTGTTAAAGTCTCAGCTCATAGGTTATATGTCTCTTTGAAATTACTTTATATACTTTCTAAGCTTCGTGAAAAGTATACTTTTTCAGTTCTTCTATTTGGCCCTGTAATGTTTCTCGGCGCATGAGCTGTGGGAAAGGGGGATTTCGTTGATTCCTGTCAACGTTTCAGGCCATTGATCTGCAAACTCTCGTAAAGATACGAAATGGTACGGGCCTTATTCCAAGGCCCACTCCTCGGCCATTTTGGATTATTTGGGCATTGAGAGCAGAAGGGTGTCAGAAAGCGACCATGAGCTCGGGATAATGCTTTGCACCTGGGCCTGAGGAAAGCAGCTCGACGTTACGGAATTGCTTCTTTCGTATGAAACTGAACTGAAGCGTAGTTCGGCTTGGTGGGGGCATTCTGCTATTTCTCATTCGATTCCTGTGGAGATTCATTTACTCTTGACAAGAGTATACCAATGTGAGGCATCTGAGTCAAAGGGATTGGCAAAAAGATCTAACGAAAGTGCAAAATGCCTCCTCCCCCCACTCCGAATAGCGCCAACTCTTCTACCTTTCTTAGCTTAGTTGGCGTCGTGGCCTTATAAAAGGGGAAAGCATTACCTTCACGCAATTTTGAGTTCTTTACGTCATAAGGTATACAGGACTTTGCGAAGTAGTTGTCAGGAACAAACAAGATGCTCGCTCCCTCTCCCACCCTTAGCCGAATGGCGCCGGATTTTCAACCCTTTGACTTCAAAGAAAACCTGTAATTATAATACGTGAATCAGGAATTTGTTTGATGTGAGTAATTTTTCAGTCACTAATCTGGAGGGCTGCTCTGGTGAAGTGCAATTTCGTGTGTCAGCGGCTGGCCCTGGTGGCTTTGGACCACCATCGATGTCATCGGTTCCTGTTACAATACCTCGCGACACGGCTGGAAAGGACAGCTATAGTCAGTTTTCAAATGTATTTGCTATTTTCTCTTGTTTTGTGATGTTCTGGTACTGATGAGGTTATTCCTGAAATGTCCACACCTTATGTTGGTTCTACGCGCCGCTTGTGTATCACCGCAGGCTCGTCGGTGTGTCAAGGGCGTCCGCGCAGCATGCCGTCCGCATTTGCACCTCCATTCCGCTTTTAATGGCCAATATCGTAGTGTTGACCAGAGTAGCTCTAATTGATTTTTGTATTGTTTCTGAGAAATTACCTGGGTTCGTACGTGCACTAATAAATTCATTTATAGCTTGAGGACTGCGATTTTCAGACTTCTACCTTCGTTTTTTGTTTGGATTTGCTCGGGAAGTTTAAATTCCAAATCCTCACCTTGTTCACTCAAAACTGAAAAGAAAAGCAGGAGTGGTTTCGGCGAGAAAAACCCACCAGGAGTCCAGCCAAATTATATCCCCCATCCTCCCTGGTTTAATATTATCGTTTGTATTAGCAACGAAAAGCTTTGAATGGTATAGAGAAATGACGCTATCTGTCAATTTTTTAGGTGCTTCAAGCGCGTTTGTTAGTAATTATTAGCGTGTCCTTGTATCCCTTACATTTGGTCGGCGTCTTTTGGTATCGGATTCGCCCCACTTTGGCCATCGTTATCTTGTTCGGTCGTCGAAATCTAGTTGATTCCAAGGTTATGGTCAAATTCAGTCGCTATTTGGACGGATGTAGCTCTTTCACATAGTACCGCTCTGTCGCTGAGTCTCATGTCTATTCGCATGCTATTTAAATGTTGTAAAATAAGTGAGACATCTAAATTTAATTGTAAACGGCCCTAAAACTCGAAATAATCCCGAGGCTTCTTGCAGTTTTCTTTAGAATATTTCACTGCCTGTCACGTTCGTTTGCTACCTGAAGGGTTTTTCTCGCATTTGAAAGCAGGAACAGTTCGCATCGTACGTTGGAGATCCACAGCTAGAGGGAGGAGGGAGGAACAAGGGTGTATTTGCCTTCGAGGAAAAAACTTCCCTATTGGTTTTGGGTGGTTGAATTCCGTGGGTTTTTCTCGTTTCAAGTGCGCCATATATAACCCGCTCGACGGGAAAGTTTTGGGAGGAACTGGAATCTTTCGGAAAAAAGAAATAATGGTAGGAATCTGGAAAAATTCAGGAGCATGGTAGGTAGCGGATGTTCTTTCGATAGAAGGGTTTAGAGGTAATTTCTCATCTCATCTTCTACTTGAGCGTTTTGATAGAGGAAGATAGGGAAGGGGGAGTGGGAAGAGAGGAAGAAGGAGGGATGAAAAAGGAAGGAGGAAGGTGGTTCTGCGGTTGACAGATGTTCTGAGACGGGAAACGGGGTCGTATTTCACCACAGTTTCGGCAGGACGTGCTCTGCTCAGGAGAGTTAATCAAAATAGATTTATGCTGTCTAACTATTTCAAACTACTCCTCCTTTGACTGTTGGGAGGTAGCTGAGGAAGGTGCTATGCGTCGAAGAATTCAAAGATGAATTGCAAGAATTTCCTAGATTTTCTGAAATCTCCGGAGTTTTGCAATTGATTCTGAGTTCCATTTTGTTTTTTTATAGCATTCAGAATCAAATGGGCTTCGGAATAGCTACCCTATATTCCCATACTGTTGCTTATTTCGACGCTTAGTTTCAGGAGTTCCTCCACCACCAAGTCGCCCCTCAATAGTAACTGTTGACGGACATCGTGCAACAATCGAGTGGACGCCTCCTGAAGTTGATCCAAACAGTGCGCCATTGATAGGATATCAGGTGACAACATGGTTCTGTTCTTTTTTCTGATTTTGAATAATACCGTCCTGCTGCTCCGTAGAATTCCGAGTCCATGAAATTTTTGGTCGATTATTGCCCTATCATCTAGATGGAAGCCATTCTATTCTTGAGCGCTGCGGATTTTTTCCGAGAAGAAATGTCTTTTCCTTCCCTGTACAACTTTTTCCTTTGGTTTGTTTGCGACTTTCGTTTTAAGAAATTTCAGTGCTTTAAGTAATTTCTATCGTTTAGTTTAATTTTTGCGATTTTAATAGTTCCATGAGGCCATTTGAAGTAAATGCTACTTTAACCACAGTTCACGCATAAGTGGGATTTTTCACCCTAATGTATTTCTTTTCTTTTTTTTTTTTTAAGCTTTTGGAGATTCACGTTAGCCGAGAGAGAGAGAGCATTCTGATTGGAAGTGGATGGAGAGGGGGGGGGGTGTGGCTCTGGAGTGGAGGAGTGGAAGCGTATTTCATATCTTACATTTCCATTTTGCCATCTTCTGTACAACACGTACATAGTTTTACGTAAATAGTTTTAAGTGGGATTGTTGGGCTTGGTGGGGGGTGCACCTAGCGTACTCAGCGAAGTTGTACAAGGCGCCATGTGAAGACCTGGAAGTTCAGTCGAAAGGGGCTCACTTGAATATTATAGCAAATTCACAAGAATTTACTTCACTCTTCAAAGTAAGACCTGAGTTAACATAAAGGAAAAGAACTAGCACAATGCATTAGGCTTCCCCCCCCCCCCTCACCCTATCCGGAAGAAAGAAGAAGCGGAGCAGCCCCTGCATTACATCAATTATTTCGGCTTGTTTTTCAAATGTACAGTACATATATAAAATTGTGGCGTATAAGCAGTGTTGAAGGTGGAATACCGAGTTTTCGGCACTGCTGATTGGATGGTGGCCAACGATGCCCTAATAACGGAGTGCACGTACACAGGTTTATCTTTAATTTTGAATTGGGATGCGATTCCGGTTTTTTTTCTTTGGTCCAAAGCTCGCCCGATTAGCACCATTCTACTTCAGTGGAAAGTCTTCGACCGAATGGTGTGTACGAGTTCCGTGTACGTGCACGAAGTGCTGATGGTTTCGGCGCACCAAGCCGGTCGTCAGGAGCCACCCATATCAAGCCTGCAGCTCCTCAACGAGGTGTTGGCTCCCGACCGATTCTTCCTGGCCTCCGACCGCCTGGTCAACCGCAGGTATTTATTTTACTTTTTCTTAGGTATTTATTTTTAGATATTTATAATTATTTCTATTTCTTAGGTATTTATTTCTTTTCGCTTGTCATGCGTGTTGATGTA